CTGCTGAAGGGAATGGAAAATAACGGGATCTCTTTCCCATTCAGTAGCTCTAATTCTGCTGTTGTGCGGCAAAGCAGCGTGGAGAAGGCATTTATTTTTGGTGGAAGGCAACGCTGAGCTCAGACCATCCAGACAAATATCACATGAAGCTATTACATCTTCATTATTGCACTGCTCTATAGAGACAAGTGTTTTGAAGAAGGTAATAAGCACTTACAATTAAAGCAATTATAAAGTAGTTTATTATAGTTGAGCGCTAACATAGAGCCGCCTTGTGTCCAACAGAACCAAAACAGTGCTACAGCGTGTCTGGGGAATTTTTAAAACAGCATCAATCTGATGGTTATGGCTCTGGAGGTAAAAAAAAAAAAGCAGTTAGTGGCAGACACCAGTTGATTTTACAAGCCACCAGAGGATTCAAGCAGGAGGGCAAAGATGGAGAAGCTGTGCGATTGATGTGTCCTCATCCTGGGGCAGACAGCTCTGGAGTGGGAAGTCACCTTTGCATGAGCTGGACCATGAGAGCCATGGGGATGAAGTCCCACACGCAGCATGGCAGCAGGAGACTGGATTATCCTTGTTTGTGTATCACAAGCCACCTTGGGGGACTCAGGAACATTATCATCCCAAAATGATGTGACCACACAGACCACAAGAGCTTGAGAATCACAGAATCATAGAACAGAATCATAGAATGGTTTGGGTTGGAAGGGACCTTAAAGATCATCCAGTTCCAACCCCCCTGCCATCAGCAGGGACACCTTCCACTAGACCAGGTTGCTCAAAGCCTCGTCCAGCCTGACCTTCAACACTTCCAGGGAGGAGTAGCCACAGCTTCTCTGGGCAACCTGGGCCAGTGTCTGACCACCCTCACAGTGAAGAATTTCTTCCTAATATCTAATCTAAACCTTCCCTCTTTCAGTTTAAACCCATTTCCCCTTGTTTTGTCATTAACTGCTATATACTGGAAATACTAACTGAAGCCAACCCCCATGGTGAGCACAGGTGGAGTTACAAACTCCAAAAGATAAACCAAAAGCCATCAGCTCTTTGCTCAGCACAGATTTCTGGAGGGCAATGGAAGTGTTGCTCTGAGCAAAATAGTTTCTGAGCTACTATCACAAAGTTAGAGCCTTAAATAACCCTTGCTTTCAGACCAGGAGAAACATGGCACTTTGCTCTTCCTCGCTTGTATGATGCCATCAGACACTGCCTCTAGTTTCCATGCTGATTTAAAAATATATTATGGACCCCAGCAGCAAGCATTTGTTTTTTCAGAGCTTCAGACACACTACTTTAAACCTTTCTTCCCCTCAAAAATTTATTTTAAAACTCCCTGAAAAGGCAGCAAGTTTCTTTCAAGTCTGTTTCACATGAAAGACGTGTTTGTATATGATTTTGCTTCTTTAGGCCAACAGTGGTGATGTTTTTGATACAGCTGAAGAAGATGCTGTCACTCAAGGAAAGATAAAATTATCACCTTTCACGAAACATCTCCAGGTTTAACCAACCCACTCCTCTAACAGGTAAAAACAGGATCTTGGCAGAGAGAAAAACAAAGTGTAGACACGAGGATAAAAAGCACTTCAAGTCTACAATTAACTTCAGTGGGAAGGGAAATATTGCATAAAATAATTGGTGGCACCTACTTATTTCCCAGGTGAGGGCAATGGAGAGGAGGAGGAGGAAATCATAGAATCCCAGACTGGTTTGGGTTGGAAGGGACCTTAAAGCTCATCCAGTTCCAACCCCCCTGCCAGCGGCAGGGACACCTTCCACTAGACCAGGTTGCTCAAAGCCTCATCCAACCTGGCCTTCAACACTTCCAGGGAAGGGGCATCTACAACTTCCTTGGGCAACCTGTTCCCGTGTCTGACCACCCTCACAGTGAAGAACTTCTTCCTAATATCTAATCTAAACCTCCCCTCTTTCAGTTTAAACCCATTTCCCCTTGTTCTGTCATTAACTGCTCTTACAAAAACCCCTCAGGGCTTACCTAGGCGGCTCCAGGAGACGATGGGTCGGGGATTGCCCGTTGCGATGCACTCCAGCACAGCGGTCTGGTGCACGGTCAGCGTGAGGTTCTCTGGACCAACGAGAATCATGGGGTCCTTGTAAACGGTGGAGTGGGAACCTGAAAGGACAGCATCATGGTTAAAAGCCATCTGATTCTGTATTGTTTAATGGAAACACTGAGGGCTTCAGGCATCCTCTAAGTACAAATGCAATGGTTGGTATAATCCTCAATAAATTTGAGATGCACATGAAACAAAAGGAGCACAATGTTTGCATGACAGTCATGTTGTCTGAAGGTGTTTTAGGTGTGCACTGATATTTCCTGGGGAAAATCCTTCAGCCAACCCAGCCAGCCACAAGCAGCCCTGTTAACACCCGGATAGGGGCAGCACAAAGAAGGAACCTCGCTGTGAACCGCAGTGAGCAGATGTGCAGGAAAAATATGGGATACAGGGAGGACACCAGCTGCAGGACAGCTCGTGCAGACAGGAATGCAAATAAATGAAGGAGCTGCTTGATCTTTCAGCATCTCAAGCCATAAAGTAATCCATGCAGTCCACAACACTTAAATCTGCCTCTCTGCAAGCATCGGCTCTTGCTGCTGTGTCATTTGCTCCAGAAGCCCTGTCCTGGGACACGGAGAACGATGGAGGTGCCAGATTCTGACTCCTGCTGAGGATCTTTTTGAGAGGAAACTCAAAGAAACTCCTCTGATGACTGCAGCCCACAGGGTGGTCGTTTCCCTGCCTTTGACAGCACCCTGTCCTGGTCCACTCTGGTGTAACTGGGTGCAGGGAGAAGATGCATCCCATTGCTCTGATATAATCATGATACAATCATTGCTTCCGATGCAATCCCTAATTGTTTATTTGCACTGCAGTAGCACCAAGTGGCAGCAACCAGGAATGAAACCCCATCATACAGGATGATGCACAGACCCATAATAAAATAAAGCCCTGGCACAAGGACTCTGGAAACCAGACAGGCACAGAACAAGCAAAAAAAACCACGTTTCACCACACAGGAGGAGACCACGGGATAAAAACACTATCCTGTGTCCATAAAAAGTGCCTTATCCCTGGGCCAGAGGTCCCTTCAATCTTCACTCCCATTTATTGGGAGCAGAAGAGGAGGAAAAAAAAGGAGCTATTCTCAGTTCTCCATCAGTAAACAGGAACACTGATAATCTCTGCATTAGTCTTCTCCCCATTTCCAACAAGAGCTGGGTTATACACCAGAAACACTGAGGTCAAGTAGCGTTTAAGGAATTTCAACAATCTGACAGCTGCTGCTGGCAAAAAAGCTCTGTACACCTGCAGAGAGAAATACTTGGGCTGGTTGTGTCCCCCCGAGCAGGAGAGGGGCACAGGGAGGGCTGGGGAGCTGAGCTTTGCTGTGGGGACCATCCCACACTGACTCCTGTACATGGACTTTCTGATGGCCGAAAAGCTTCTTAAAGAGAAGTGATCCACCAAAAACTATCCACAAGGGCTTTTCTCCAAGAAAAAAACACCTTTTTTCCTGCACTTTTTAGCATTCCCCTTTCACAGCAGCTCAGGGGCTGAAGGGGGGGTGTTAGCAGGGGGATTTTGCAGCGGTCCAAGGGCAAGCACAGATCAGAGCAGCTCGTTTGTTAATCGTTCCTACAAGGGCTAAACAAAGAGCAATAAAGCAACCCCGAGGTTGTGTCTAAAATGTGCAAAATCCAAGAAAAATCACCGTGTCAGTGTGACTTAAGAGCTGACTTTCTCACTAAATGCATTTCACTGCAAGCCATAAAATGCAGATTTTTTTGATGAGAAGCAGAATGCACAATAAATTCCTATGACCGGCTGGTTAACCCCGAGAGATCCGAAAAACAATACCTTCCCCTTCAGTACCTTGGAGTGCCTTTAAAACTCTGGTAGATTTATTGTTCTAAATCATAATATTAAATGTTCACGCTTAGAATAATACAGTATTCTCATCAGATTATAGAGTGATTTCAATATTTCAAAACACAGAGAAACGAAATGCATTGTCCAAGGTCACTCAAGAATATCAGTAAACGGGAGTTAAAACCAAAGTAAAATTTATAAAACACACTATTTTGGCAATAAAATTTTTTTAAAAAATCACAGTCCTAAATAAGCATTCAGGTTTTCAGGTGTGGATTCAGCTCCCTGAGTTTGGCCAAATGTTGCCCAGCTCTTGGGAGCAGCATTTCCACCGCTGCTCATTTTTGCTTGCAAAGGACATGTAACGGTCCTGTAGCTTTGCTGCTGAGCCCAACACCAACGGCAATGCCAGCTCCAGGGCCAGAAGGGATGGTGACCCACCAGGGACACAGCAAAAGGGTTGACCATGTCTGACCAGAAAAGCTCTTTGATGCAGGGTCAGGAAGAAAGGAGTGACCAAACGAGGGCCTCGTGGCAGGCAGTGCTGCTGGAGCACAACAGGGTTCAGGAGAATGCGGGGAGCATTTATTTTGAAAGGGGAAAAAGGTTCTAATAATGCACGTGGTCCCCAGGGACTCTGTCAGCAGCAATTGCGGTGAGGATGGGGATCCTGGCACCACCAGGAGTGACAAGTACTCTAGCAGGGATGGGAACGTCACCGGCACAGGCTGTTAGATCCTGATCAAAAGGACAGCAGCAGAGAGAGCCGCAGCTCGCGCTGAAAAGGTGTCAGTGCAGAGAGGCAGGCAGCCCCTCGGGAGCATCTCCGCTAAGCAGGCACTTGAAAATAATCAATCAGTAGGACTGGGAAGACATATTCGTACTGCTCGCTGCTGGCAGCCCCACCACCACTGCTGGGGAGAGGAAGGAAAGGGCTGTGAGCAGGCTCCTTCATCCCCAGCAGGCAGTCACCCTCCTCTTCCTCTCCAGCCAGGCTGTGGCAGTGCCCACTCCCAGAGCCCATCTCCATCCTCTCCCTCCTCCCTCCCCAGCTAGGGCTCAGTTTGGAAACCCCAGTGAGGAGGATGAGCATCCTATTTCTAAGAGAGCACAAAGGTGTCGTTCACTCCTGGCTGCTTGGTTGGGCTGGGTTGTATGATTTGACTTAAAAGTTCCCACTTCCTTCATGGTAGGAGCAGCTACTGAAACATCAAGGGAGACTTCTGAAACTAAAAGTGTTTTAAATTAAAATTAAGACTGACAAATGAAGAAAGCCTAACTAGAAGGTCACAATCTACCAGCAGGTTTAGAAAATGGCTGATGAGTTATTCCTTGAAGGGGCTCCAAGAGATCAGCTTGAGTCCTACATGGAGAGCTGATGGAGGATGGGCAACGGGCAGGTCAGTGGAGGGCAGCACAGCTATGGAAATGTGGTAGCAGCATATTTGCACCTTCATCCTTCCTTCGCCGTGCCCAAGGTCATCACTTCCACATGCCATTCTGTGTGCTCTCACAAACAGGCCAAACTTGTGCACATGCAAAGCGTGGATGCGGGTTGCTTTGGTTTGTCCTTACAGCTTCATCACATCCTACCTCCGGCAGCATGAAACCAAACAGCAGGGATGTGATTTTGGCTGGGTTTTTTTGGAGAGGAGACCATAACGCACCATCATTTCTTCAGCTGGAGCTTTCAGAGGTGAAAAACCTGTTTCATCCACTGACTTCAAATGTGGATGGAGAACCAAGTCAAAATTCAGCCTTGGGATGCTCAGGGCTTCTCTTTCTCATCTTCCAAAGAAAGGTTAGCCCGCTTCGGTCGCAATGCAATGCTAACAGCCTAGAGAACATAATTCCCCCATTAGATAAATAATTGATCACCCTGTGTGCTGCAACTGCTTCCCAAGTGGGCAGGTCTCATAAGGAAATGATGAATCTTCCACATTTCCAAAAGAATTTATTTAATATAAAGCTGCTGTAACTCATTTTCTCATCGTCCTCCCTCTACTCAGAAACTGGTGCTAATTTACAGGCAAAGAGGCAGATTTATCTGCTATCAAAGGGACTGATCGGGCAGGAACTAGTAACAATCCAGAACAAGGAAGGTGCTATGGCTGGGCAGAGGGATGTTTCTCAGCGCTGTTAGCCTGAAGCTCTCTTAGTTTAACTGCCCTGGTCCAGATCAGCAGAAGAAAGAAGACAGGAAGACAGTCAGGACAGCATTTACTGGTACTAACCTGACACGGTGAGTCTGGCCTCCCGGCTGAACTTCACATTAGCAATATTGGTAGCAACACAGTGAAAAATCCCACTGTCTTCTGCCCTCAGCCCCGTAATCTGGAGGACCCCTTTGGGAAGCAGCGTGTACCTGTGGGAAGAGAAAAGCAGAAACAAAAACGTGGAAGGTAGGAGGTGAGGTGAAGGCAGGCTCCATACCTGTGGAGGTGGGGCTGGCTGGCTCCCAGCATCCTGGTGCAGAGGTGCCAATATCACCTGAGTGATGCAGCCCCCGGCAGGTTGAGCCCACGCTTATCACAGAATCCTAGAATCATTTTGGCTGGAAAAGACCTTTAGGATCACTGAGTCCAACCACAAACCTAACACTGCCCACTGAACCATGTCCCTAAGCACCTCATCTCCACGTCTTTTAAGTCCCCCCAGGGATGGTGACTCCACCACTGCCCTGGGCAGCCTGTTCCAATGCTTGACAGGAACAGCGAAGAAATTTTTCCTAATATCCAATCTCAACCTCCCCTGGTGCACTGCATCAGTTCTTTATTGATTTGAATATTTGAGTCTCTGGTCTTCTTTTACAGGGGGTATGTTCCCTTTTTTTATCTTCTGATGCATCCTTGAGAAAGGATGACTTTTGCTGGAAGGCTACAAAGTAGATGCTTCCTATTTAACCTGTGGAATAACTCTGGCAGTGCATTTGTGTGTGAACACAGCTGGCGTGGGAGTTACCAGTCATCAGCTGAAGCACAGTGACCACGGACAAGCATCGGGGAAATGTGTGCTCCACACTCCCAGGTCTCAAATCCACATGACCTTAAAATGTCAAATGCGTGGAAAGGCATGTTTAAAATAGACAGCAAGTAGACATACATAAATAGAAATAAATATTTGATATATTTAAAACATAGGTACCTTTAAATCATGCATGCATACACACATATATGTACATATACATTACAGGTTGCTTGGCAACCATGTGTTTAAATTGGCTGGTAGTAAGTCATTACACTGTGATGAGTTAATAATCCATTTCCTTCTGGAAGATGAAGAATATCTTTTTCCATATCAGCATATGGTTAAGTGCTTATAACCTGCTCCCTGCGCTGGGTTCCAAATGCGCGGCTCGGTGTCGGTGGCAGCGTGACAGCAATCAGTTTTACCCGTCCCCAAGTTGATTGCAATCTCTCTGGGATTTTAAAATGCCCATTGTTTTGGATGAATTATACCACAAGAAGCCTTCATTTTTTTGTTAACAATCTGCCCACAGCATTAGAAGATTCAATTCCAAAGCTATTATTCTGCCTTCAAAGCCTCCAAGTGCAAGACTCGGCATACAAATTTATATACACTTCATAGGCAGAAATGCACCGAGCGTGATTAATGCAGAAATCCAATTCAGTTAGAGAAGCAACCCTCATCACCCCGGTCCGTTGATGTCAGAGATTAATCTACTGAGCTGACAATAAAAAACCTTCCCTAGTAACTTCACTCCTACAAAAAGCCAAATCTGTTCAAAATCAAGACATTGAACACAGGGAAACTGCTCCCAGCCCATGGCCTTCAGGGCTTGGCCAAGCTCCTCGCCCCAGAAAAGAAGCAGCGGGGATGAGCACATCTTGGGGCTCTCTGGGTTGGAGAAAAGTCTTGGCTCCTCATTCTTGGAGCTCCTCACCCTTGGGGCTCCTCAGCATCAGGGCTCATCAGCCTTGCAGAAAAGGAGTCCTGGTCACACTTAAATCCCTGCCACTTCTCTGATCATCTCCACACCCTTGATCCTGGGCTCAAGTAGAAAGGGGCAAGAATGCATGAAGGACTTCAAGGGAACTTTGCCTGTTCTGCAACACCTCATCAGGATGTACCCAAGGTGTCAGGCCCAGTTCTGCACCACTTACTTCTTCTGATAGCACCTCAGATCACTCGCCCTGCCCTGCCACATCCAGTTTAGCACTTGTGCGGTGAGTAGGGAGCCTTCAGAGGAGATCAAGTTTAACAAATCAACCCTGTGCTGGGCTAAAAAAAAAAAAGCTCAGCTGAAAAAACGTAAGGAAAAACAAAACCTGACAGTTGCAGTTTTCCATGGCAGGGTTGGGCCTCTTGGGTCCTTCTACTGTAAGTTCACTGCAATGCTGAAAAGGTCAGGCATTGTTCCAGCCCTCATGTTTTCTCCTGCCTCTAAAGCACCCAACCACATTCTGCTGCAGAACTGACATTTTTAAGAATAGAGGCTTTTAGGAAAAATATTTACAGCTTCCTGGCTTTGCCTATTCCCAACACACGGACGTCAATTCACGACCCGAGGTGTGCTGCGACCGATTGTCTCCCACCATCGCTTGTGTGGCTCCTGAGCTGCAGCTGGGACCACTGGAGGCTGCTGGCACGGAGCAGGCGTTTCCTGCCACCTGTCCTCCGCTGCTCAGAGGATCAAACCGTGATGAGGGACGTTTCCGACCCAAAGGGAGTAGCCTGTCAATCACAGGAAGCGAGGACGTGCCGTCCCAGGTCTAGGCTGGGGATGGATGGTGGGCAGCTGGGGTTTCTCTTCAGGAGGGTTGCATGGGAAACAGCAGCCCAAGGTGCTGCAGGATGCTCTCTGCAGAGCTTCCCTGCTGCCACACACAAGGGAGTTATAGAATCACAGACTGGTTTGGGTTGGAAGGGACCTTAAAGCTCATCCAGTTCCAACCCCCCTGCCATCAGCAGGGACACCTTCCACTAGACCAGGTTGCTCAACACCTCATCCAGCCTGGCCTTAAACACTTCCAGGGAGGAGCAGCCACAGCTTCTCTGGGCAACCTGTTCCAGTGTTGTCCAAGGAAGTTGTGGATGCCCCCTCCCTGGAGGTGTTCACCTCAGAAGGAAAGTCTAGTGGCCACGGTATAATTCAGCACTTGCAGGTGGTTCAGGACCCACATGGAAGACTCTAAGTCATGGATGTGGCTCAGGAGGAGTTACACAAAATGGAGCCACAGAGGGATGATGGATACTAAAGCTAGCCCAGCTCTGCTAGGACTGCTGGGTGGGCTCTTCATGCTGGAAAGTAAACTCAAAGGAAGGCTGATCAGGCGAATGCAAGCCTTGCCCCCTCCAAAATCAGCTCACGGGGTTTATCTAGTTGTCTTGAGAGATGCAGTATTTCTGCACAGTATTTGGCCAGAAGGAGCCTAGACAACCCACAACCTTAACCTTGGAAAGACCCTTCCATGGCAGAAACGCTGGCCAAGACCTGATCAGCTGTGTCCTAGCAGAACTGTGAGAGCAAGAGCAAGCCTGGCTACCTTTTTCCACCTTGAGAAAGGACAGCAGTACGTGGTTTGGACATGTCCTACCTTTCGTTGTCCGTGTTGACCGGCATGCGGTTCTTTTGCCAGAGGATGACTGGCTCAGGTAAGCCATGGATCTGGCACTGGAATCTGGCTACGCCACCTTCCTCCACCACTGCGTTCTGAGGGTGGATGTGGAAGTCGGACATCGCTGGAAGACACAAAGGAAGACAAAAATATTGAAATGTGAAAAGACATCGACTGTCAACAACTTCACGTGACCTAGAAACGTGAAGTTGAATTGACCTCAATTTCCCAGAGATGGCAAATGGGACTGTAATGCAAGAACAGAAGGCTGGTTTGCAGCCTAACCTCCTGCATGGAGAAACAAGACTGGTAGCAAGTTCTTGCTATATATCTGCCTCTGCACATTGAACTGATGGACTCAACCGTGACATGAGAGAGTGCTCCATGAACATCATGCTCCACAGCAAGGTCTATGGGGGCAGCGAGACGCACTGACACTGCACTGGCACTTATCAGAGGTCATTCTCAACAGCTTCAGCAGCCTTTGGATCCAAGCTCACATCAGAAAAGAGATGTCTAGCCTTTATCTTGCTGCCCATGTCTCATCTGCTCTCAATATCTACAGCTGGACTCTTAAAGGCATTTTGTTTAAATATCTTGACCAAAGAGCTCCCAGATACCCTAGTAAAACTTACAGTCCTTGATTTCCACCTCTGTTTGACCCATGCTCCAGCTCATTGCATACTCTGCCTTCCAGTACCGCAGAAGGAACGGTCACATCCTCACATTGTGGAGCAACAGGCTTCTGCTGATGGAAAG